TCCACCACCCCTGCGGAGGTTAGGAGGGACAGTGAGTCTAAACCTAATCAGGTAGTGATCGGACCATGACAATGGAGCGATGGTCAGCTCCTCCGCCCCGACACTGTCATCCCATCCCTGTGTAAAGACCAAATCCAGTGTGTGTCCGGCAGTATGGGTGGGACCAGATACTAATTGGGACAGGCCCATGGTTGTCATGGCGGCCATGAAGTCCTGAGCCGCTCCAGAGAGAGAGGTCTCGGCATGAACATTGAAATCTCCCAGGACCAAAAGCCGCTGGGAGCTCAACGCCATGTCCGAGACCACTCCTGCTAGCTCAGGTAGGGAGACTGTCGTGCAGCGGGGTGGTCGGTACGCTAACAGAATCCCTATCCTGTCCCGGTCACCTAACCTGAAGCCGGCACACTCAAATGATGATGATTGTGGGATGGGGCACCTGATCAGGGGAATATCAACCTTATAGACCACTTCCACTCCTCCTCCCCGCCCTCCAGGTCTTGGCTGGTGCTGCACAGAGTAACCCGGCGGGCACAGTTGGGAGAGATTCACCCCTCCCCCCTCGTCCAGCCAGGTCTCTGTTATACATGCCAGGTCGGCTCGCTCCTCCTGAATTAGATCTCGAATGGTGGAGGTTTTTCCATTTACCGACCTGGCATTGAACAGCACCACCCTTAACCCAGAGGGACCACCATCCTGACACCTCAGCTGTATCTTGTCGGGAGGGTTTTTAGAAGTTGCCAATATGTTCCTATCATTTTCAGGCCGAATCGTTTGCATGGTTGTAGAGTGTGTAATCTTTGGTATTGCCAATGTTCTATTGAAAATTTTGGGCCGAATTTGCTTTTGTCTCAAGTCCATAATACGTTTTGGGTTTGCCAGATCATTGTTATAAATTTTGGGTCGAATTGGATAACTCATTCTCCCTTTCCCGTATCTCCCCCTACCTGTCACCACCTCAATGGCAGCCCCCCCACCCGCAGAACCACCCGCCCCGGGGGGCGTTCTTCCATACTCCTCACCTACAGAGTCAGTTGTTGATGTGTAGTGACAGATCCTGTTATAGTTGTATAACTCTTGAGCCTGCGGATCATTCCCCTCGTTGCTTTCTACTCCTTCCAGTTTACTGGGGATCGTAAAGTGCATTTGTACGTCACTGACAGAGATGGATATCAGCAGTAATAAAAGTGACAGTGATAACATCAATAAGTTACTGGAAGAACACAGTATAAATCACAGTTAATTTGAGGCTCAGTCAGTTTAAAGTGCTATAGTGAACACGCTTCAGCAGCAAACTTAATGGTTTGGGACCAGTTAATGACTTTGGCAAGACCAGGTGGCCTAAAGTGCAGGATTAAAGTGCTAAATGGTTTTTATACATCTAGAATGAAAGTGCTTAGCTTAAGATGGTTTAAAGTGACTTAGTGCTCTGGTAGATCTAAAGTGCAGAATTAGTGTCTTCTAAGTATCAACCTTCAATCAGGACAGTAAGTTCAAAACCAAGGGCCCAGCTCTCTGGACCCGTGGAGAACAAGCCGGCGTCCGTTGACCGAGTCCCTGGTTCTTCCTGACCATCCTCTGAAGAAGATGACACAGTTCACGGGAAGATGGCAGCCCAGCTGGTGAAGACAATAATTGTTTAGCACTAATTATTAGCACAGATTCTAGGCTGCGTTGAGCGATGTTTCCTTGCTCAACTTGGCTTGACCATAGAGGGCGGTATAGTTCACTAAAGATGGCCGCAAACCACTGAGTCATAGATGGACAACCTTTCACACAGTAGTCAACTAAAGATAAAAATAAACTAAAATAATGAATCAAGATGGCAGAGGGACTCAGCGGCATAACTCGATGGAGGGGGGGATCCTCCTTTCCCTTACGCGTTGATGTTTCCTTCAGTGGGGTAGCTCCTCTCCCTCTTCCTGGTCGGGTCAGCCGCCGCGGCGATGAGGCGATGATGGGCCCTCTCCTCCAACCGCGACCGTCGTGGCGATGTTGAGGCCACCCGGACCTGGTCGCACCTCGGGATATTTTAGACCACTGCTCAGGATGGCCCCCGCAGCCAGACGGCTTGCCAAAGTGGCAGTGGCAGCAGTAGCGATGATAGGCTGCTGCAGCTCGTCCCTCCGCTCGCAGCTCGCGCCGGATCAACCAGTGCCCCTCAGAAGTTGCGAGGATGAGCTAAAGCGGGGTTGCGATCCGTAATGGCCTCCTCGCGGGCGCCAAGGGACCCCGGAAGATGCCGGAGCTGTGAGCAGCGGGCGCCCGCCGGAAGCAAGCCGCGGAGCCGGCCGAGCCGCGTACCAGGCCCCGGCCGCCACCACGACGAGCGGAAAGATCTTCCGAGGGGCCAGGCGAGGCAGCGCCGCAGCAGGAACGCCAGGCAGCAAGGCAGCAAGCGCCGCAGAGGAGCAGCGGGGCAGTCAAACAGCCGGGCGCCTCCGCCGAGCACCACGCTGCACGCCAGATTAGGCCGCCAGCGCGGCAATGGCGTCCACGATGTCGTTCCGAGCAGCAGAACGCCGACCAGAGAACTCGCCTGCCGGGAGGCGCGAGGGGACGGGCGATGGTCAGGAGCCAGATCACTCTGAACGCAAACGTGAGTCCGCTTGGGGAGGGGGTTCTCGGCAGTCCGGCAGCCACAATTGGCCTGTTGAGAGGGAACGCTCCGTTTGGACCTAGATGGTGGAGGCCTCGGCGTTCTACCTCTCGCCTTTTCCCTTTTAATTCCTCTCCTCGTTGTAAATTCGTTGTATTGTCCACAAAGACTCCGAGATCTTTTTCACATGTACTGTGGCGTCACCCTTTCTGTATGTTTGCATTTCATTTTTTCTACCTGTGTAGTATCTTATGCTTATCCTTGTTAAAAATCATTTTGTTAGTTTTGGCCCAGCTCTCTATCTGTTAAGGTCATTTTGAATTCTGATATCCTCTGGAGTATAAGTATCCCTCCTAATTTGGTGTCATCTGCAAACTTGATAAGCATGCACTCTAAACCTTCATTTAAGTTATTAATAAAGATGTTGAGACATCACACTGGCAACAAAGATCCGCATAGTTAAAGCAATGGTATTCCCCATAGTCACCTACGGATGTGAGAGCTGGACCATAGGGAAGGCTGAGCGAAGGAAGATAGACGCTTTTGAACTGTGGTGTTGGAGGAAAGTGCTGAGAGTGCCTTGAACAGCGAGAAGATCCAACCAGTCCATACTTCAAGAAATAAAGCCTGACTGCTCATTGGAGGGAAGAATAGTAGAGGCCAAGATGAAGTACTTTGGCCACATAATGAGAAGAAAGGAAAGCTTAGAGAAGACAATGATGCTGGGGAAAATGGAAGGAAAAAGGAAGAGGGGCCGGCCAAGGGCAAGATGGATAGATGGTATCCTTGAAGTGTCTGGATTGACCTTGAAAGAGCTGGGGGTGGTGACGTCTGACAGGGAGCTCTGGCGTGGGCTGGTCCATGAAGTCACAAAGAGTCGGAAACTACTGAACGGATGAACAACAACAAAGATATTGAATTGTACCGGGACCAGGACCAAACCCTGCGGCACTCCACTCGTCACTTCTTTCCAGGATGAAGAGGAGCCATTGGTGAGCACCTTTGGGTTTAGTTGCTTAACCAATTACAGAACCACTAATACTAGACTTGCCTAGCCACATTTGACTGGTTTGTTTGCAAGAAGGTCATGGGGGACCTTGTCGAAGGCTTTTAATGAAATCAAGGCATGTTACATCCACAGCATTCCCTACATCAACCAAGCTTGTAACTCTATTGGAAAAAAAAGATAGGATTAGTCTGGCATGACTTTTTTTTGAGAAATCCATGTTTACTTTTAGTAATTATTGCATCACTTTCTAAGTGATTGCAGACTGTCTCCTTAATTGTCTGCTCTAGAATCTTTCCTGATATTGATGTCAGGCTGACTGGATGATAACTGTTTGGGTTCTTTTTTTTCCCCTTCTTGAAGATAGGGACATTTTCCCTCTTCCAGTCTGCTGTCATTTTACCATCTTCTCCACGTTTCTATTGGTTGGCAATACTTGGTTAAGAAGGGCTCTGTATAAGGCAGTTTCCTGTGTTCTAAGCTCAACTGCACTATTAGGTTTCAAGCCAGTATAGAACTGGTTGCACCTCATTATTTTTCAAGAGCAATAATTCAGGTCATAGTTGCATAATTGACATTAGAACTGTGAGAGGTGAGGGGACCATGTCAGCATCCCAAGAAAGCAAAGTGGGCATTATCCCCACTGTACTCTCTTCTGCAATAAAGCAACTTGTACCCAAATGCCCTTTAGGTGGGCATTTTTATTTTGTTCTCGGCCCTTCTTGTAGGGCCCAGGAGAGATTTGTTTAATTCCTGCTGTTTAAAAAAATATGCCATTTCAAGTTCTACAAAAGGCCTTTTGTGAAAGTCAGGCCCACCCAAATGCAATAGAAATTCCACCCTCACTTATATCCATTTTTAAGGCAAAAAGTATTTTACATCCTTGAGGGTTTCCAGATATGGGAAAACCCTTTGACACACTCATTACCCTTTGATAACTATCAAAAAGCTAGAAAAAAATAAATTCAGTAAAATTGTGATGAGTAGGTAGATGCTGTAAACCTTTCTGGTGTACCAATAAACCATCATTTTCCATATTGTATTTTTAACCCATCATATTACGGGAGTGCAGTAGAGGTATACATCTGTAAATTACCAAGCAAGTCAAACTTATTAATACATTTTCTTTAAACACTAACTAATATTTTAAGTTATCAAAGGCAGAGGAGCCAGAATAAGTCCAAAATAGAGCAGCCAAAGTAAAAGTAAGAGTCCTAGTGCTTAAGAAGTACCTATTTGTGTACAGCAATCACTGGATCAACTATCTTGGCCACATTATGCTTAAAATACTAGCAGAAAAAAACCCTGGAACACATTTTATTGAGCTGAACAAGAGAGTACTATTCCGCCAGGCTGACATGGACAGCACTGAAACTAAATTCAAGATTAACACTAGTCTTAACTTTCCATCAACAGTTAGTGGTTTATTTCCGTTTTATAACAATTGCTTACAACCCGCATCCTTGCAGATGGCCATCATACATTAAACAGAATTTCTCATATCACCTTGTGATTCATACTCTAGTCCAGACACCTACACCATTTCTGGAGGGAAAGTGAAAAATTTATTAATAGTTTAAAATTCTGTACAAAAGCAATAGCTTGTAAGAGGGTTGAACGGGACTCAGCGAATGCCTTGGTGGATAATGCTGCTCTTGGTACTGCTGTCCTTTTCCTTTTTCCGTGTTGGGTCGAGCTCAAAGCAGCGCCAGAGCCTCAGAGTTTCATCTGCTGCTGCCGACGCTACTGTGGACCCATCTGGACTCATAGTCAGGCTTAGTACTCTGGCAGTGTGACCTAGCAAAAATAATAAAAAACCAAGATAGCCTAATAGTGCACAAACTTCTCTGATTACTTGCAGTGTTGAAGCAATAATAGATGCATTATTCCTGATTATATCTAGGACCTCATTTTTCAGAAATGAGGAAATAAAACACCGACATAAACATTTTTTTCCTTGAATCAGGAAAGCAGGAATCAAACTAAGTATAAAACTGATAAAACAGCAAAAAATGTATAACCCAACACATAGCAAAGGAAGATGCTAGGTATAAAAAAAACCACACAACCACTGCAGTATAAAAAAAAAACTATGTAGATCCTAACTTTTTGTCATTTCCCACTTACGCCAATCCCCTTAGCAAGATTTTTTGAGAGGGTGTTTGCCTTTGCCTTCCTTTTAATGAGAAAGTGGGGCTTCTATGGCTGAGTGAAAATTCGAATGGTGGTCCTCCAGTCAGCCCAAAACACCAACTGCTATATCATTTGCTCAAATATTTCAATATATTGGAACAGACCAATATATAATAAATCTAAAAAGCTGTCATCAGTTATTACAGTTGCAGCAGTTGTACACAAGCCAAACTCAACAGCATGTTTATCAATTAATGGTAAATGATAAACATCTTGATAACATCAGTAGTATTTCCCTTGAGGACAGAATCTTTTCAGACCTGTGAATGCACGTAGTTAGGTAAGTTAAAAGCTTTTAAAGCTTCTAAAAATGTATATTTAGGACCTTTAGTTCTTTATGGGAGAGACCTTGCCAACACTTTTTTTCTTCTATCTACTAAGAAAGGGCTTATTTTTATTCTAGGCCTTACGTAAGCAGCAACAAACTCTGGCTTGTAAACGATATATTTACCTGTAATAATTTATACCTAGCTGTTTCAGACTTTCAGAACATTTCTATACTGGTAATTTTGGATTATACAAAGCATCTGTAACAGCAGCAATTGTTACAAAGTTGTTTTAGACTTCGGATAAGTGGTGTAAAGCAGGGCTTCTTACACATTTTCTACTGGCAACCTGAGACATTTTACAAGACTTCGTATATAAAAGGTATATAAGTATATAACTTTAAACACTGATATAAATCATACAGAAATTTATTTAAAATAATTATTTGTTATATGTATAATGTTGCCATTCATTAAAGATTAAAGCAAATTTGCATATTAATGAGATGGATGTGCTTGTTTATTTTTAAATAAAGAATTACAGCTTGACTGAATATTTAATACTGCAGGACACAGAGTATCTTCAGCTTTTTTCACGCCACCTGCAGCTGGCGAAATACACTCCGTTCACTTTACTTTTTCCTTCTGGATTTATGCAAATACTGAAAACAGCTACTAGGCGGCAAGCCACACTATTTTCATACCTACACAACATGGCAAGCCACACTATTTTCATATCTACACAACTTACCTTTTAGCTCAATAACCTTGGACATAGATGGGTATTTCCAAACTACAAGTTGGTTCTGGGCAAAGCCATGAGCAGACACAAGTTCCTTGTAGTTTGTAGACCAGAGAACTGCACACACCTGTAAGGGCAAGAGAAAGCCAATTAATAAGACGGCAGCTATTCAGGAAGCAACTGTGTCAATATAAGACAGCAGTGACATCTCAAGAGAGTATGTTGAAGTGTCCATAGCTTTCTAGTTGGTCTTACTTGGGACTGAGCATCTACTTCATTGAGACAGGTACCAGAGCAGACATTCCATATCCTGATGTGCCGGTCACTTGTTCCTCCTCCTGTTGCTAGCACATTGTTCTGCCATGGGCTCCAAGCCACAGCCTAAAGGAGAGAGATATGAGGAGAGAAATATAAGCATGTCACCTTTCCCTGTTGCCATCAGTGCAAGTACTGCCTACATTTACAACGCCCTGCTCACCTTGACAGCTCCTTGATGCTGTGTGAAGGTCTGTACAGGCTGTAGAGTTGCACTGTCCCCTTGTGAGGCTGGCCAGATGTTTACTAAGTTGTCGTTCCCCCCACTGGCTAAGTAGCGGCCGTCGGGTGCCCACTTTAGCCCGCACACTTCTTGCGTATGGCCAGCCAGCGTTGCCACATGATGCTGTGCCACACGAACATCATGGTGATGGATATGACCAGTTCTTGACCCACTGTAAAATGGTAGATTAATATGTCCTGGTAAGCAAAGTACATCAGGAGATCGAGAATACCTGGTGCCAATCTCCCTTTATCAAGAAATTAGCTAGAGAGGCTATCTTTCTCTTCACTCCCAGTAATCATCAAAGGTACTTCTCAAAAGATTATTTGTGCATACCTGGACAAAATATAGTTGTTCCAACTCAGAGAGCTCACACGGGATGAGTGACTGACCATGTTTCGCAGACGCTTGTTGTTCTGGATGTCCCATAACTAGAAACAGTATGACAAGTTGTTAGTACTCTGTCTTGCTTTGCATACTGTGCTTTGAGTCAAGAACACAGTAAGATTATCCTGATAGTCCTTAGTGTAGTTACACAGTGAACATATGATAAGCTGGAAAAAAAAACTATAGTCATCAAGGGAACTAGTTATACAGGTTAAGTATCCCTTGTCCAAAAATCTTGGGGATAGAAGTGTTTCAGATTTTTTTGAATATTTGCATTTACATAATGAGATATTTTGGATATCTATGTCTTCTGCCGTTTGTTAATGGGCAAGTAAGAATGCTGCAGCCACTGTCTTGAAGATGAAAGCAGACAGCTGGTTGCAAAAAGTTAAGAAGCGGGTGAGGGACCAGATTTCTGGCTTAGGGATGCTCAAACTGTGATTCCAATTCAAATTTTCCCAGCCACCATTCCTCAAACTGGTTGGAAGAAGGAAAAGACCCGTTGGATAGTCTTGATGATTTAACTACCAATTGATCAGGGCCCCAATATATAAACCACAAAATCTAAATATATAAATCCCAGAAAAACTAATTACTCTCACCTGAACCTCTGCATTACTTGTGCCAATTGCAAGGTAGTTTCCCTCTTTAATCCATGACACAGAGGAGATGTAGTCATCAGGGTGCTCCAATTGCAGTAGCTGGATTATTTCTCGGGAATCATAATGCCATAAATAGAGTGTTTTATCCAAAGCCACCGCAAGGAAGTTGAGGGAGCTCCAGTCAATGAGGTTAAGATCTAAATAGGAAACACAAAACTCAATAGTATCAATAACTTTTCCTTCCTTGCCCACCCTCACTGCACATACGAACATCAAAAACAAATACAGGCAGTCCCCAAGTTACAAACATCCAACTTACAAACTACTCATTTAAGAACAGGGGTGAGGCAACAGGAATGGGCAAAATCTACCCTTGGAAGGGAAATTCACTCCTGAATGAGTTATCATGCGGAAAAAGTATCTCCACTGAAGCTTTATCACCAATCCTTGTTTCCACAAGCCAAAATGTTCAAAATCTTATCACAAGGACAGAAAGTGAGGTAAAATCTTCTGAACGGGCACAGACAGCAAAAAACAAACACCAAAAAACCACAAGGGTATTAACCCTTCTCTATATCTCCCCCCAAATACACACACACACACACACGTGTGTGTGTGTGTGACCTAGACTTTAGCTGGAGTATATATTTGAAGTTACACTTTATGTTCCTGTTTTGACTTGCATACAATTTCAGCTTAAGAACAAACCTATAGAACCTGTCTTGTTTGTAACTTGGGGACTTCCTGTTCAGTGAACCAAATCCAGCAGGCCCTATGCAATGCATAGCATAATGGAATATGAATACACAGCTCTACCTAAAGTAGCTAAAGCACCACAGAACTCTAAAAGGTGATTCTAACCTTTCAGAGAAGACAGTCATGTCTACCTTTATGGACATGTATACACCAAAGATGGAATTGGAACTCCATGCTCATGCTGCTTAATGGAAGAAAAAAGGATTCTAAACTCATTACAAAATTAGGGGGCACTGGTGTTTAGTTTCTAAAATATCATTTGTGAAAATTGTGTTACTATAATGAGAGTAACGAAACTTCATTAGTTTTTCATTATAGTAATTGCACAAGTGGGGAAAATTCAGGGGCTCCTTTCTCCCTCATTTTTACAGCTATTGGGGTGAAACTTGCTGCAATAGTAGAACACATTTACCACTGTTAGCCCTTCAAGTTTCAGAACATGTCACTTATCCATAAAAAATGGGGGAATTTTAATTTTTTTTATAAACAACGTCTTTTTTTTAAATACAACTACAAGAGCTATCTCCTTGAATTCCCCCCAACTTTCAAAAATATTCATACATCTGCCAATTTTTGGGAATTTAAAAAGTTTTGACAAAAATGTGGGGTTTTTGTGTTTTTTTTTAAGCAGCCACAACAGCTATCTCACTGAATGCCTCTCATATTAACCATTGGAACTGCCATTTAGGTATTTCTTCCCAGTACAGAGATGTACTTACTAGAGGTATCAGTCAGTCCTCCTCTTCGCAGATTCAACAATTTATTGAAACTCTGACTGGCTGCTGCTGCTACAGAGGGGGAAATCTCTCACCTATCCCGATTGGGGCTTTCTGATGCTGTGCAGAATTCTGGGAGTTGAAAGTTCAGGGCAGGGCCTTTTGAACTGTCTGGCATAAGGCTCCTTGCCTTCCCAAACTACTTTTCCCAGAATTCTGTGCTTTCTCAATCTCTTTCTCAGTGAACTCTGCTTTCTCCCTGCTGCTTCCCTCTCCTAATGGCGCGAGGCCATTTAATTAAAGAGGAATGACAGCCTTTTTGGCTTTGCTTTGCTTACTTGCGCTGAAAATGAAACTGACTTTGGGAGGATACAAAAATGTATTGGGTAAATTTCGATTTTTAAGAGTGCTTTGGACTGCGAGAAGATCCAACCAGTCCATCCTCCAGGAAATAAAGCCCGACTGCTCACTGGAGGGAAAGATACTAGAGACAAAGTTGAAGGAGGAGACAGGAAAATGAGGAGACAGGAAAGCCTAGAGAAGACAATTATGCTGGGGAAAGTGGAAGGCAAAAGGAAGAGGGGCCGACCAAGGGCAAGATGGATGGATGGCATCCTTGAAGTGACTGGACTGACCTTAAAGGAGCTGGGGGTGGTAACGGCCGACAGGGAGCTCTGGCGTGGGCTGGTCCATGAGGTCACGAAGAGTCGGAGACGACTGAACGAATGAACAACAACAAGTTTTTGACATGGGCCATGCCCACATTTATTTATTTACTTTGCTTATATACCGCTGTATCTCAAGCCCGAAGGCGACTCACAGCGGTTCACGAACAGTAGAAACAGTAGAAACAGCATATAACAATTGACTTAACACATTATCCATAAATTACCAATAAGCAATTACAATGCACAATTATTACAAAAAACAACCGTACCCAATCTTCTCATCATCCAAGCGTAGTCCAGATTCGTCGTCCATTGTTCCATTCCTATGTTCCATTACCAGATTGTACTAAATTACTCAAACGCCTGCACAAACATCCAGGTCTTCACCTTTTTGCGGAATACCATTAGAGATGGTGCTAGTCTAATGTCCGTAGGAAGGGCGTTCCACAGCCGAGGAGCCACCACCGAGAAGGCCCTATCTCTCGTCCCCGCCAGCCGAGCTTGAAAAGCAGGCGGGATCGAGAGCAGGGTCTCCCCGGAAGATCTCAAACTCCTGGTGGGTTCATAGGCAGAGATGCGGTCAGATAGGTAGCTTGGGCCGGAACCGTTTAGGGCTTTAAAGGCCAACGCCAGCACTTTGAATTCAGCCCGGTAGCAGATCGGTAGCCAGTGGAGTTGGCGCAACAGGGGGGTTGTATGCTCCCTGCGCTCCGCTACTGTTAAAATCATGGCTGCCGAGCGTTGGACTAGTTGGAGCTTCCGAGCTGTCTTCAAAGGCAACCCCACGTAGAGAGCGTTGCAGTAGTCTAAACGGGATGTAACCAGAGCGTGGACTACCGTGGCCAAGTCAGACTTCCCAAGGTACGGGCGCAGCTGGCGCACAAGCTTTAGCTGTGCAAATGCTCCCCTGGTCACCGCCGAAACCTGGGGTTCCAGGCTCAGCGATGAGTCCAGGGTCACACCCAAGCTGCGAACCTGCATCTTCAGGGGGAGTGCGGCCCCATCCAACACAGGCTGTAACCCTATGCCCTGTTCGGCCTTGCGACTGACCAGGAGTACCTCTGTCTTGTCTGGATTCAATTTCAATTTGTTCGCCCTCATCCAGACCGTCACAGCGGCCAAGCACTGGTTCAGGACCTGGACAGCCTCCTTAGTAGCAGGTGGAAAGGAGTGACAGAGTTGGACATCATCCGCGTATGATGTCCAACATGTCACATATTGCATCGTAAGTACGAATTTTAACAAATTTGATCCGACTTAACAACAACTAACAAATATTTTGCACAGCCCTACTGCTTACAGTAGTCGTTGCGAATATCTGGAGCATCCAGAATCCGGTCTGACATGGATGATATGTATCTCATGTTCTTCCGAGTGGAGCCTGGTGTGTTCTTCTGGCTATAAAGCACTTTGAGATTGTTCTGATATCCTGGGGAAGAAGATTGTTACAAGTATTAATCCAGATCAAACTTAAGAGCATCATTGTCTTTCATTGCTTCCATTGTGATTGTAATAGATTTCAATTCAACCCATCTGTCTCAGCTATTTTAAAAACCCACACAAGGGCTTTGGTAAATCCCAAGCAATCAATGGCAAGTACTCCTGTTGCAGGCACTTCTAAGTCAAATCAAGAAAATGCTCTTCCCTTTGAATCATAGAGTTGGAAGAGACCTCATGGGCCATCCAGTCCAACCTCCTGCCAAGAAGCAGGATAATTGCATTCAAAGCACCCCCAACAGATGGCCATCCAGCCTCTGTTTAAAAGCTTCCAAAGAAGGGGCCTCCACCACACTCCGGGGCAGAGAGTTCCACTACTGAACGGCTCTCACAGTCAGGAAGCTCTTCCTAATGGTCAGATGGAATTTCCTTCCTTGTAGTTTGAAGCCTGAAATGCATTTAAATACAGATATGGACTACCTATATCTCAGAGAATCTGCAACTCTGTTTCATCAAAGCATAACAGAAAGTGAACTAGAAGGATGTCAACTCTAATTTGTGGACTGGGGAGGAGCAGAACAAATTATGAACAAATTATGTGAGTTTCTATTTGTTTGTTTGTTTTAAACTGCAGAGTCATTTGGGGCCGATTTTCACTTCCTTCTTTCTCCGAAGGCAAGGCAGTTTTAAAAAATATATTAAAATTGAGATTTCTGAAGCTCCATTTTCTCTCCTTTCTTCAAGGCAGTTTGAAAAGCCTGAAATTGAGGTCTCTGGAACTCATATCTTCTCTCCTACCTTTCTCCTTCTGAGGCACTACTGTGCCTCAGAAGGAGAGAAAAGTAGAGCTTCAGAGACTTCCATTTTGTAGTGTTTAAAACTGCCTTGCCTTCAGAGAAAGGGTAGAAGGGAAAATCAGCCCCAAATAGGGGTGTGACTATTATGTGGGAAAATACGGGATTTGCCAATCACCACAGTGGCAAGAAATCAAAGATTTCCTTACTAAACATCCAGGTCAACCTATCACTTCTTTGGATGAATTCCAAGTTGGAAGAGACAAGAAAAATGTCTGTGAAATAAGCCGCCTCTTTTGCCTCTCGTTAACTGAACAAAAGGTAAACTATTGGAATTGACTCCAACTGGTCATTATAGCATTTGAAACATTTTAACACCTTATCATGTACTTAAAGGTGATGACCGTCATAAATCAAATTGGATACTATAGCTAAGAAGACAAAGACTTGAAAGGCAGCTCTGGAGGAATTAGTTTCTCAAGTATATTATCAACATCAAAATGATACAGGTTGTAGTATTTTTTCATTTTGGGTATAGTTGCAAAAGCCGGACAGTGACAAGAAGAAAATCAACTCATTATTAGATTGTGGTACAAAAGGGGAGTTCTGCAGATGCCAAGGAGTATAAAACACACACATCTTGCATCCTATAACAAATCAAGCCTTAACTCAAAATAAGACCTAGCAGGCCATTGATGACTGGGACTAATAGAGACATTTCATTCATAAGCCAGAGCTGACTTAATATCAAATAACAGTATGCCAAAGTAACTTTTTCTTCCTCCTGCCCATTCTCCATCCCATGTGTATCCTGTTTAAAGTACCAGTCTGAAGCATGACTCTTGTCTCTCCTGTCTTTGCAAAATGTTCTAGGAAACATTTGGACAAAACAGAAGTATTTAGCACACACCTTATGTTCCAACTTGCCTAGTGTTGAATTTACCCAATGCAGACCTACCTTCAGGGGCATTCTGGGGCTTTCCACTCAGGCGCAGGATTTTTGCCTCTTCTACATCAAAGCCATTAAGATTCATTGCCCAGGCCTTCTGATGCTCCTTGAAGGACAGAAAGAACTTTGTAAGAAATCAGTGGCAACATGTTCTATAGGACACCGCTCCAAAGATGTGAGCCTGAATTCCCATAAATCAGTTCCAAGTTGGGAAGATCTACATGTTCACCTCAGCTACACAAACCAGTGTATCATACTGGTTACAGGGCTAATGTTGCAAGAACATAACATTCAAGCCTTTGGTGTTAAGCCTCCTAGCTATTCAATTTGATGGCTTGTACATTTCTGTCACCAATTTTCAGAAACAAGCCTGTACATTCTCTCTTTCCATTTGTTAGGTTACTGTCAAGTAGCCTACTTGCGAGTCAGGCTAAACCTATAGAGAACTTTGTGCCACTTCTCTTATAAAGTCAGTGCTAGGAGGAACTACCCTTAAACAGAAGAGCATGAAAATCCTGTGTACAAATGCAACATACATACCAAGTTTTTGCTGCCTCACCTTCTTGGTAGGTGTCTCATCAGAGGTGTCTTCCTTGGTTAAGAGGAAGTTGGCCACATCCATTTGCATAGCACTGCGATTAGGGATATATCTATCCCCTCCAGTTTTGCTTGGAGTATTCTGTGCTTTTGAACCCGATTTGCCTATCGGATAAACATGGGGCAATCCATTTAATCTCATTAGTCTCGATTTTCTAGAATAAAAATTAGATTCAAAGCAAAGACTGGATGTAGAAGGTCTTTGGCTTCCACTGGGGTTTCGTTCCAGGACTCCCGTGGATAATAAAATCAGTGGATGCTCACATATCATAAGAAACAATGGCATAGTAAAATGCCATCCCTTATATATAAAATGGCAAAATCAAGAGGTTTTTTTTTTTTTGGGGGGGGGGGGTATTTTCAAGCCATGGATGGATGCATTTCCTAATGCAGAGCTAACTGTATAATTGTATATATTCCACAGACCCATGGAGTGATAAAGCAGCCTTGTCATTCATTCCCCAAATATAACGGGAGAAAGACCACAGAATAAGGAACTGGTGTATGCCACTTTGCAGTTACAGCCCAGAGCCTACTGAGCCTTTTCACACAGTTGCAAAGGTGTGTTTACCTGGTGTTTTGGAGGGGGTCTTGCTGGTGCTCCGGGGCCTATTAGCAGGTTTCATGGGCGAAGGAGCAGTAACATCTGGAACAGAACCCGTGCTGGCGGCAGCAGCCTCCTTGGCTTTGCGCTGCCATCGGGCAGGAGGTGCGTTGGGTATAGGGGCATCCAGCTTCAACAGCCCATGCAAGTCACTTTCAAATAAAAATTGCGCCATTTGGGTTGTGCTGCAAAGAAGGGAAAACTGTTAAAGTGAGAGACACCAATAAATGTTGCCTGTCATAATGTGCGTTCCATGTTGGTTGTGACCTATAAAACCCTATATTTATTAATTATTTATTGCCTTTATATACAGCTTTTATCACCCTGTATATATGGGGGAACTCAAAGTGGTGTACATCAAGTAATGGCAAGATTCAATACCAACATATATACAAAACCAAAGCATAATAACTAAAACAATAACGTAACTATAAATTAATCCATTAAAATCATATTAAACACAGAACATAAACAGGTCCTCCTCTCATTGCCACCTTCATTGCAAGCACCATTGAGGGGGAGGCAAGAAGAAGGCCTTCTCAGTGGCTGCCCTCGACCTTGGAACTCATTGCCAAGGGAAGTCAGATTGACCCCCTCCCTGCCATCCTGCTGGCAGCAGGCCAAGATCTTTCTTTTAAAGAAGAAAGTTTTTAAGACTGAGGCAGAGGGTGCTGTGTTTTAATAGTTTTAAATGGTTTTAACTATTTTAAGAGCTTGATGTTTCATTCTACTTTCGTGCTTATATTTATTTCAAAGTGTACAAACAAACATGGCAAACATCCAATGCCATAATAAAGCAGACAAATCAATCAACATAGTAAAAAAAAACATGTCAGAAGTGACTTGAGAAACTGCAAGTCGCTTCTGGTGTAAGATAATAATAATAACAACAACTTTATTTTTATATTCCACCACCATCCCTCCGAATGGACTCTGGGTGGCTCACAAGCAGGACCAAGGCCAACAACAACAGAGTTACACCTAAAAACACATTTAAAAACATAGCAAAGATCTAAGAATATAATTAAACAAATTAAAACAGCTGAGTATAAAAAGAACAACATTAAAATGAATCAAAGCAAATCTAAATAATCATGGCCAGCAGTAAGGTGGGCAAGGTCAGAAATTTAAGGGGGCTAGGCATGGGCTTGTGCAAATAGCAGATTACAGGGCCAGGGCTGGAGGCAAAGTGCTCAATCTAATGGTTGGGCTGCGTATTCATGGGCAAGGGCATAACCATTGCCAAATGCACATTTGAACAAGCAAGTTTTGAGGTCCCTGCGGAAGGTGGTCAGTGTGGGTGCTGGATAATTGGTCATCTACTGAGACAGGGAATGCCCAGATGTGTTACCATCCTGTGGGAGGTTTCTCTTCATGTCCCCACATGAAAAACTCGAGCTGACAGACGGGAGCTCACCCTATCTCGTGGATTCGAACTGGCAACCTTCAGGTCAGCAGTTCAGCCAGCACAAGAATTTAACCCATTGCGCCACCATGACTCCTAGCACAGTAAATAAAGCAACATCATATAAACATATAATAACTAGCATTGCTAGTTGCTTTGAGTCTCTTTTAAGATGGAAAAAATATAATTACTATTACTATCATGATTTTATTGAGACAGATTAGATGGGTTCTGATGAGACTGAAAGGCCCTCTTCTGCACTTGGGGTGCATTTACACTGACTGCAGGGTCCTTCCACACAGCCCACAATATCTGCTTTGAACTGGCTTATCTCAGAGCTCTTCCACACAGCCCTATATCCCAGAATATCAAGGCAGAAAATCCCACAATATCTGCTTTGAACTGGGTTATCTGAGTCCACACTCAGGATAATGTGGGATTTTCTGCCTTGATATTCTGGGATATAGGGCTAGCTCCTAGGGCCCTTCCACAGAGTAAAATAGCAGAAAATCCCACAATATCTGCTTTGAGCTGGGTCCACACTGAGTCCAGTTCAAAGCAGATAATGTGAAATTTTATTCAGCTGTGTGGAAGGAGCCTTAATGCTCTGGAATCTTGGGAGTTGAAGTTGTACAAGGCCTAGAGCGCTGGTACCTCGCCAAACTACAGCTCCCATGATTCCATAGCACTGGGCTGTTGGAGTTAACGTGGTTTCAAACTGTGTTAATTTCACAGTGTAGATGCCCCCACAGAAATGCTAGTTTACAACCCCCCTGCGCCTCCAGTGCACCTGACTAAGGCCAAACACTTAGGAGAGAACTCTGCACTTAAGCAGGAGCTCCTGAGCAAACACAAGGAAGGGCTTTCTTTCTCCTCCTCCACAGCACTCCCCTGCCTCCCTCAATTCCCTCCTCGAGGTTTTGCAGAGACCATGCCCTACTTGCATTAATTGTCCTGCTGTTGGTTTTAGAAGCCACGCCTTGCCTGAAATATCCTCCCCTCGCGGGTGGCTTGACCCCCGCTCCCCTGCCCTGGTTTCTAAAGGCGACGAGACACCAAGATAATAATTGGGGAGGAAAATAATAATGATACCGCTTCAGCCACAGCACCTGCGGACAACCTCCTTATCCAACGCTCGGTCCCGTTCTGGCTGCAACTCTTCCGGCCTCGCCTCTCACTCAGGATTTAAACTTGCCACTCTGATCCGAGATTGGTCCTTTCGAATCTAACGTCCGCATTGTCTCCAGGCGACCCTCGCTCCCCCTCTTTCCTGATTGGTTGTCTGAAGGCAAGTGGGCGTGGCCTCCTCGTTCGGTGGCGAGACAGAAAACTAGGATGCGTCTGTTGGCCTCGCCTTGTTCTTAGAAGGAAGGGAATGTCCCGTGATGCATCGCGGTAGTAGCCGGCGTGGAAGAAGGAGCCGTTTCCATGACGACGGACGCTTTCCTCTCACTGTCACGACTCTAGGCCTCAGAATAATAGGCAGCGTGGTTTTACAAGTTCTTTAGCCTTGTTAGCCCAGAGAGGCTCCTGCCTGGGCAATATCCAACTCCCAGGATCCCATAGCATTGAGCCATGGCAGTTAAAACGGTAGCAAACCGTATTAATTCCACAGTGTAGATGAGTCATGGGCAAACTTGGGCCTTCCCTCCAGGTGTTTTGGATTTCAATGCCCACAATTCCTAACAGGCTGAGGGGGAAAAGGAAAGGGCCTGAGGCTGTTAGGAATGGTGGGAATTGAAGTTCAAAGCCCCTGGAGGGCCCACTATACTCATTCTTGGTATTTATTTATCGTGTCAGGAGCAACCAGACATTTGTATTGTATTTTTAACAAAACAAACAAAGAAACAGACAAAACACAAAGTTTGCAAGTTTGGTAGTTGATTAAATGTCCTTTGACCAGTATCTGGCCACTTGGAGTACCTCCAGTGTTGCTGCAAGAAGGTCCTCCATGGTGCATGTGGCAGGGCTCAGGTTGCATTGCAGCAGGTGGTCAGTGGTTTGCTCCTCTCCACACTCGCATGTCGTGGATTCCACTTTGTAGCCCCATTTCCTGAGATTGGCTCTGCATCTCGTGGTGCCGGAGCGCAGTCTGTTCAGCGCCTTCCAAGTCGCCCAGTCCTCTGTGTGCCCAGGGGAGAGTCTCTCATTTGCTATCAGCCATTGATTGAGGTTCTGGGTTTGAGCCTGCCACTTCTGGACTCTCGCTTGCTGGGGTGTTCCAGCGAGTGTCGCTGTAGATCTTAGAAAACTATTTCTTGATTTAAGTTGTTGACATGCTGGCTGATACCCAAACAAGGGATGAGCTGGAGATGTCACTGCCTTGGTCCTTTCACTATTGCCTGCTACTTCCCGGCAGATGTCAGGTGGTGCAATACTGGCTAGAAATGTGCCCCAGCAGAAGCCTCAAACAAGGACTCTCTCCAACCTTGAGCTCTCTCCCTTTGCTTTTCTCCCCAGCCCAAACATTGTAACAAAACCCCTAGTAAAGACTAATTGAATTGTATCCTTCACCTCTCCATAGTGATACATTGTGTCTATTTCTTGACTCAAAGATATCTAATGCATGAACTTATCCTTTTTCGGGCCGCGGGCAGCCACCGGCTCACCTGGGATGCCTTCCAGGCGTCCCAGGGAGGTCGAATCTGCGTTTCTTTAAACCGTGGATACAGAAACCCCTCGGGCCCCCGTATCCGCGAGTTAACCAAACGACTCCATTTTGGTGCCATATTTTTCCAAGCTTAATTCTAACACTAACTGCTATCTCAATTGTTGCATTTCGGGCTCCTATGCTCTGGGAATAACCTTTTGTTTTAAATAATATATTTAATAAGAAACAGCTGATTGTCAAACTGGGTTTCCCGCCATCGCTTCTTCGTCCTTTTGGAGCCCCAGGACTCGGGGAACTTGATGTGGTCATCCCATGAGACCTTTGGGAAGTGGATCTGCCACCCTTGTTCCAGTCCTTGGAGAGAATTATAGTTCTCCAAGTACCAAAGGGCAAGCTCCAGCAATGCAGAGCTCCATATCCTGGCTCAGTGGACTTACCAAGCCATTTTTTCATGATTTTTAAACCCTTTTGTCCCACCTCAAGGACTCCCTTTCCCACTATAGACATACTTTCTTCTATGGACTTTCATATAAATATTATGAACTATGGACATATACTGAGCCATGATCGAGGCTCTTATCAATTTCATTATGGAACTCAGGGGGGAGGGATAAGTGGGTATGTTTTCTACACTGTGATGATAGGTTCAATAGGTTTGTTCTTAAGTTGATTTTTTTTGTAAGTTGGAACGGATTTTTTTTTAATGGAACTCCAGCCATATGCATGTGTGTGTGTTTTAGATAGCATAGGGAAGGGTTAACACCCCCGTGGTACTTGTTTTGCTGCAGGGGCCCCTGTTCAGAAGATTTCACCTCACTTTCTGTCCCTGTGATGATTGTATTTTGAAAAAAATGCCTCGTTGTGGCAACAAGGTTTGGTGGTAAAGCTTCAATGGAGACACCTTTTCCCCCATAATAACTTTTCCAGGAGTGAATTTCCTTCCTAGGGGCAGATTTCTATCACTTCCTCTTGTCTCAGCTTTGTTTTTAACCAGGAGTCGTTTGGAAGTCGGAAGTTTGTAGCTTGGGGACTGCCTGTGTAGTGTTGCCTGATTTTTCCTCTTCCGGATCTGGGTCCCCAATTTTTGTAAGGATTTGCACAGCAAGACACTTAGTCCCCATCTATATTGACAATTTCATGCATTTCTACTCTGATTCCAACTGTGGCAGCCAGACAACAAACTGCTACATAAGTGTGCAAAAGCAATTAATTAATTAATTAATTGCTGAATGTGTATATCGCCCTTCTCAAACCCAAAGGGGACTCAGGGCGGTTCATAGTGTTGGCAACAGTTCAATGCCATTGATAAGATACAATATTGTAGCAGCATGATAAACTGCATTAAATGGACAGTGTAGATGTGCCCGTGGTGATACACCTCTCCCTTTCTTGTTTCAAAAGGGCAAGTTTATGCTTTCACCAGTCCCCACCAGATCCCCTCCCTTTTGATTCCAAAACATTGAACAAGTGCAACACACTTAAAAACACATTTCTCTGACCAGACTAAAGTGTTTCCAGCTGAGAACGTGCACCAAGGGCTCTGGAGAAACATAGCAATCAGCCACTCCTTGAAACCATACAACTCACACCCTCCTTGATCTTTTCAAAACAAGGCTTTCTGGTATTATTATTAGCTATAACAGCCATCAGAGGAACCTACTCCAAGCCTATAAAAATGTGATGATCTTACAAGACCCAAGTGAAAAAAGCTTTAAGTATCAATGCAATTTAACAACAGGATGATGAAGGTGAGGCATTCAATCTCTAGCTATTGTTAGGTCTAACCAGCTAGACCAGTTCTTAACGTGTGGGTCCCCAGGTGTTTTGGCCTACAACTCCCAGAAATCCCAGCCAGTTTACCAGGATTTCTGGGAGTTGAAGTCCAAAACATCTGTGGACCCACAGGTCAAAAACCACAGGTCGAGAACCACTGAGCTTGACCACATGTATCAAACTCAAGGCCCAGAGTCCAAATCCAGCCTGTCATGCCATTTTGTTTGGCTCTGCAGATGCAGGATTACACCTCCTGTGTTCTTCATCATTAGACAACATGACTAGAGCTGATGGGAGTTGTGATACAGTAACATCTGGGAGCTTGCAGTAGTCAGTATAGTGGGGTTTGAATTTAGATACAAGGCTTGTGGATATATCATTACACAAACCACAGAGAACTGATGCACATGAAGGGTTTTCTTTCACGTGTTTTTCTAGGAGTTTGTTGTGTCGCCGATGCAATTTGGTGTAAATGGGACCTATGCTTCTCTGGTGCCGTTTTGTCTCTGCATATTGTTTGCCAGTGGAATCATAAACAATGGATAAGGACCTGCTCTGCTCTGCTTTGAGCTGCTTTGCTCTGCATTAGCAGAACAGTGACCATTCAACAGCCAACCGTCAAGCATTTGCATGTTGTTTGCAAACAAAATTGATCTGCCCCACTCTGATTTCAATTCTGTAGTTAATACAAATGAAATGGATGTAACCTATGTTCTTGCTTATCCCGTCTTATTTCAATTTCTGCAGCTTGAGGGTGTGGATAGGATCCTTGGAGAGGTGAGAACCACCAAATTTGTGTTGGATCTGTGCCATGTCTGGTTTGTAAAAACAGCCAAAGGATGATTGACTGAATAAAGGGAGTAGTTAATGCCTCATTTTACTAAGGCAGTATTCCAACCTGTTGTAAAGAGATTGAGGTGAGGCTGTTTCTGAAATCATATCACATTAAAAAAATATAAGCCAGTCTTCAATATGGGCAAGGTTGACCCTGATGAGATGGATCTTAATCTGATATCCAACTTGGTTATTGGATGGAGACAACTTTGCCACAGTGAATGACTGTGCCAGTGGTTCCCAAACTGTGTTCCGCAGAACTCAAGAGTTCCACAAAAACATCATAGGGGACTCACGAAAAATTATTTAACTGTTTTTTAAAAGTCCGTGCCAGAGTGTGAAGTTCTTATGGAAATTCAGAATACTTCTGCTTTAAAAACGAGATTTGAATCAGTGCCACTTAATGACCATTGGGTAGGGTTGATAGACATATAGCTGTCAGTTGCTATTTATTTATTTATTGTATTTTTTATCCTGCTCTATCTCAAATCTGAAGTGGACTCAGAGTGGCTTCCAAATTGGCAATGATTCAATGCCACTTTAAAACATTAGAAACAAACAAAATACAAAATACGTAGTGTATAAAACCAAAACAGTAACATATAAATACATTTAAAATAAACAGTTAAAAACATAGCATGTGGTCCTGAAATCATAGTCCAAAGCCAATCCAATCATATTACATTTCAAGAAAGGCTATCCAAGCAATGCTCCCCTTCATGTCCACCTATTGATTTTTCAGCTTGTGCTTACGCCGAAAACAAGTTGGATGTCATCCCGGATTTTTGTATTCAGCTGTTGGACATAAAGTCCAATTTCAAAACTATTTTAAGAGCAAAAATGAAACAATTTCATTCATCACTTTAGGTGTGAATCCAACATTTTCCTGTCCCAAAATAAAGGTTTTTGTATGTATGTGCATGCTACCTCAGTGGGGGTACTACCTTCCCTAGGCAGGGTTGTGAAGGAGTCTTGAATATCTCTTTCTGCCCCCTAACTAAATCTGATTCTTTTAATTCACTGCTCTAACTGACTCCCATCCAAACATTTCCAAATTTATTTCAAACTCTCAGCCAGGTTCCATTCATCTCCATAATTTCATGCTCTCAAATTGTACCCAAATGATACTTTTGTTTTATTTTGTTTCGTGTTTCCAAATACGGGAATAGATTTTATTTTACATTTCACAGAATAAACATATTTACAGTGTGTAAAAAATGGTATATCTAAACAATCCAACAACAACCACAAAAATTGTACAATAATCTCTTATAATAACCCACTACTTTTGTTCTATGCCATCCCACACATGTACCTGTTCTGACTTACAAACAAATCCATCTTAAGAACAAACCTACAGAAACTACCTTGTTCATAATTTAGGACTGCCTGTGTACATTTACAACCCTAAACTAGTTTTTAAGAAGTTTTCAAAACCCAATTTCTCTCAGTTTTCCTAGTACTAAAACTAGGACTGGATCTACACTGTCATATAAAATACAGATTATCTGCTTTGAACTGGATTATATGGCAGTGTAGACTCGTGTAATCCAGTTCAAAGCAGACAATGTGGACTATCTGATAATCTGGATTCTGTGGCAGTGTGGATCTAGCCTAAGATGTCCCCAGACAGCGGATTTGTTGTGTGTTAGTTTTAGTTACCTATGTTGTCTTGGTTCTGAACAAGGATTTGGGCGATAGCTATTTTTTGCAAGCGATCTTCCGATTGACCACATGATCTTGTTAGACTTTAAACTGTGCCCAGAATGAACCATTAGTCTGGATATTTGGCAGGGGCCAAGTTTATTATCAGTTATCAGTTTAGCAAAAGGCGATTAGCTGTTGTTTCTACATGAGGTTTCTGCCCTAAAATCTGACATTGTAACCCATCTGAAGTTGTTCCAGTCTACTGTGTTGTCCTTTAATTTGAAAAGTACCTCTGAGACCTTTCAACCGCAACTGAAAATATTTTATATAGATAAAGATACTGTGCTTTTTTGAGGAGAGATGGTTTTACAATGTCATTATGCATGGTGTATTTCAAAATATCTGAAGTAAGACTTAGCAAGATTGCAAAAAGTCAGCTTGACATGAGGAAGATACCTATCTTCAACAGGCATGTAGGTGTAGTATTAAAACTTCAGATTCCAAATTTGAATCTCTAGATTAGCCTTTGTCAACAACAAAGAAATGAGTTTAGTCTTCTGAGGGGCTCAGTAGTTATCACCGTGCCTCATTTCAGGAGTGATGCTGCCCCTTTGACTGACGTGTGTGTGTATATATATATGTGTGTGTGTGTGTAATGTTCGTTTGTGGTATTAATATAACTCAAAAACCACTGGGTGAATTGACACCAAATTTGGACACCACCTGTCAGGCCAATGAGTGACCATCACACATAAAAACACTGAAAGACACAGCAGAGGAGACTTAAAAAGCCAAAAATTAAAAAACACATTACAACCCATGCGCAAAACCACATATATACACACACAAAATACATATACACAGACTGGGCCACAGCAACATGTGTCAGGGGATGGCTAGTATAAACATAAAAGCACTGGTCTTTTAGGATTCATTGAGCAGAAGAGTGTCAGCAAGCTTTTTATGCTTTAAAAGTCAGATTAATTCAGCTTTGCAAACTCCAGATTTTGACCAAACCATCAATAAAAAAAACACTTTTTTATTTATATCTCAACCCATCTCCCTGTGGGAACTCAGAGCAGCTAACAACCTTTGTTCTGAAGTACATTTTAAAGCGGTTTTATTGCAAATTAGCCCTGATCAAGAGTTATGTTCTATGTTTATTTGAGCAAAAAGGGTTATACTAAGGGTCCTTCCACACAACCATATAACCCGGAATATCCAGGCACATAATCCACAATATCTGCTTTGAACTGCATTATCTGACTCCACAGTGCCATATAATCCAGTTCAATGTGGATTTTATACAACTGTGTGGAAGGGGGCTTAGAGGAGATAATTTTCTGTTGTGAGAAAACATATTGCAATTGTATGTAATTTGAGAAAGCTTCAGCCCTAAATATGAGGTTGAACTTTCCAACTACGAACTGATTATTCGCTACTTTGATGATTTTATAAATTAAGAACCCAAATAAAAAATTGCTACAAACTGCAGGGAACCTGTGTTTTGTTTGGTTTTCTCCAGAAGTAGCCTGTGTGTGCAAATACTCCTCCTTGACTGAGCTGAAAGGTGAGTTATGAAATCAAGCCTTTGCACATCCCTGAACTACTCACAGAGATAACATATTTTGCCATCCTAAGAGTATACTATATACAAACAGGATAGTACAAAATGAAATCTAACATTAACCAATAATGATGACCTGGTTAATGGGATGAAAGTGACAAAATCTTTAGGTGGGAATGACTATGGCTGGATATAGGGCAGTGTAGATCCGGCCCATGTTCTTGTGAAGTTTGTTATAAAATTGAAGGGGGAAGTAAAAAATGCATTCTATACTTTAAGAATGCTGACAGTTTAAGGAAAATTACGCATGATCCCATAGTTAATAATACCAAACACACTGCCATATAATCCAGTTCAATGTGGATTTTATACACCTGCATAGAAGGGGCCTGAGTTTGCAGAAAACTGCATTACACAAATAATGTTACTTCATGTGCACTGTCACTAATGTCAATAAAAGTAATTATAGAGATTTGTAATCTGTGGGAGGCATTCGGGGTTAGTGTGACAAACTGGAGATGAAACAGGAGGATATGATTATTGAGGTTAGATATGTACCAAATTGGAACAATGTTTATCATACGAAGACTATGCAATTACACATTAAAGAGCTAATTGTGTTGTGCTCAGTCTATATTTTCCATGTGACTCTGCCTCTGGATATGATCTAATAGTAAGGCAATTTGTTGCTGTTCTTGACCCTTTCATCACATCATGCTCAAAATATCTCATACCAATGTCTGCTATATTGGGAAAAGCTATAATGGTCTTGTTGTATGGGTATAGGTAATTCAGCACAGTGCAGTGTCCCTGGTATTATATTGTCTTTGGAGAGCTTTTGATAGACCTCAGGCCCCTTCTACACTGCCATATAAAATCCAGATTATCGGCTTTGAACTGTATTATATGGCAGAGGGGATTCATATAATCCAGTTCAAAGCAGATAATGTGGATTTTTTGCTTTGATAAATTGCATTATATCACAGTATAGAAGGGGCTTTAGTTACCAAGAGCCATGTGTACATAGCTATGGGAAAAGACTCCAATTCAATTTTCATTCAGTAATTCATGCAATCAGCTGCTTAGAAAGAGCCTCAAAATGAAAAAGTTGTTTGGCAAACAGCTTTCAATTGCTGCTATTTTGATGCAAACCTCCATGGCCTAATTATTCAGGTCGTAAGTAGATAAGACTGATTTGATATGTGTGTGGCAGATATAGACTGGTTCTCAGAAGCTTCCCAACTTTGTTCTTCTTTTATTTCAGGTGACCCAAGGTGGGTGCTTAAAAATGTGAAGGGGCTTAGTTGGATCTTCAGCTCTGAAGTTATGCGTATATTCTGGTCCAAGGACAGTGAGAGTGTGTCAGGGCCATCACATGTGCCATCAAAATACTCATTTTCATGTTGTCTGCCTTGTGGACTCCTAGGACACAACACCATGTAGTGCTGGCAGGAAGAAGCTTGACTGTCCCATTCTGTCTCCACTGAAATGTTCTCAAGAAGATGGCCATAGCTTTGTGTTTCCACAGACGTCTCAGACAACACTTCCAGCATACAAGTCAAAGGTGTATCTTCTAAACTTTTGTTGCAAAAGAAAGAATTCACCTAGAAAATTAGTAAACAGCAGCATCAGAAACACTAAATGATATTTCGGCTCCCCTCTAGACTTCGTTGTACACATGAGCCTCTGTCTGTTTAATTTTAGGAGATAATTCTCTATTTTCCCAATTGTATTAGGATTAGTGTTGCACAGAAAAGGAGGCCTTACCTGCTGCTGCTTGCCATTGTCCTCAAGGAATCCATCTAGTGCATGATGGAGGTCTGGTATAGGTGGCCAAATCTTTTGTTTCACTGTGCTAAATAATGAGATGTAGATTGTGAAACCCATATTTTAGCAAAGTTATATTTTTGGACTACAGTTCCCACAATCTCAGGTTGGCTCTACACTGCCCTATATCCCAGGATCAGAACCCATATTATCTACTTATCCCAGATTATCTGGCAATGTAGACTCATATCAGTTCAAAGCAAATAATTTGGGATCAGATCTTGGGATATAGGACAGTGTAGATCCAGTGGTAAGGCCCTTCCACACAGCAATATAAATCAGAATATCAAGACAGAAAATCCTACAATATCTGCTTTGAACCAGGTTATTTGAGTCCATGCTGTCATATATTCCAGTTCAAAGCAGAAAATGGGGGATTTTATTCAGCTGTGTGGAAGGGGCCTTAGTGTCACAATCTATGCTGATCAATGCTATATTCTAAAGCTAACAGAGCTTGATAAGATCTCCTTTATCTATTTGTCAATCCTGTGACACTGTTTTGACATGCAACCTAGATTTGTACCTATTGCAAATTCTCAAGATGACAGACCTTACAAAACAATCATTAAAATAAATATTGACTTCTACCTTACCAAACCACATATATCTATGCCACCCAAGCTACATGTCATATCATTCCAATTGCAGCAGTCTATCATTATTTAACATTAACTATTCCTTAAACTAAACTAGAGAACAGGTGTTCTGACAATTGAAATCTGGAGAATCCAGCCCATTTCACACCATAGCCCTAGGATTATGTAACCTGCACTTTGCTGCAAAAGTCTGTCTGCTTTGCAGAACATCACTACCACACCCTAAATAGTGTCTTATTGCTGACTGCTGGAAGTTAATTTTAGAGTTTAGTTACCTGTAAACGGCTAGCCTGGTGCAACCTAGGACCAGCACAAGTCCTGTACAGAGCAACAGGACAACTCCCACGTTGAGTATGGTTGACCCTGGCACAGGATCATAAGATGAATTTGTGACTGAATTTGGAAAAGTCATGGGCTTACCTATAAACAGAGACAAGACAAAGACTATGACATATAATATGAGCAAGAAGAATCAAGAAACACTGTCACAAGAGGTAAAATAGATACAGTAAAGAAAATACAGTATTTGAGAATTTATTTGATAAACAAGAACTCTGACTTATTTAAAAACAATTATAAAAAATGTGCAAAGAGATACAAATAGATTTACAAGGATGCAGCAAACTAGAGTTGACTCTATCGGGAAGAATTATCGACAAAAAGTGTTATGGGGTTATTGTGAGTTTTCCAGGATGAATGGCCATGTTCCAGAAGCATTTTCCCCTGATGTTTTGCCCACATCTATGACAGGCATCCTCAAAGGTTGTGAGCTTTATTGGAAACTAGGGAAGTGAAGTTTATATATTTGTGGAATGTCCAGGGTGGGAGAAAGAACTATTCTCTGTTTGAGGCAGGTGTGAATGTTGAGGAAACACAACATACAAACTATCAACCAGAGAAGTCAGCCATAGCAGAGCACTTGAGGAACCAACCTGGACACAGCATATTATTTGAGAACACAGAAATGTGGACCACTCTAACAACTACCATGTCAGACTACACAGAGAAGCCATGGAAATCCACAAGAATGCGGACAATTTCAACAGAAAGAAGGAAACCATAAAAAAGAACAAAATCAGGTTACCAGTATTAAAACAACTCTAAAATCAAAACAGTAAATAAAGAAAAACATTCAAAAACAGGGGAATTCCAGATAAGAAACAATCTACCCTTTCCACACAGCCATATAACCCAGAATATCAAGGCAGATAATCCACAATATCTGTTTTGAACTGGATTATCTGAGTCCACAGCGTCATATAACCCAGCTGTGTGAAAAGAGTCAATGAGGCATCTATCTTTCCCTGGATTTATCCAGTTTATCTACCAGTACTGTTTATCTACCAGTTTATCTACCAGTCCATCCTCCAGGAAATAAAGCCCGACTGCTCACTGGAGGGAAGGATACTAGAGACAAAGTTGAAGTACTTTGGCCACATCATGAGGAGACAGGAAAGCCTAGAGAAGACAATTATGCTGGGGAAAGTGGAAGGCAAAAGGAAGAGGGGCTGACCAAGGGCAAGATGGATGGATGGCATCCTTGAAGTGACTGGACTGATCTTGAAGGAGCTGGGGGTGGTGACGGCCGACAGGGAGCTCTGGAGTGGGCTGGTCCATGAGGTCACGAAGAGTCGGAGACGACTGAACAAATGAACAAGCAACTACCAGTACTGACTCCTATCTCTCAAGACAGGCAAAGATCAACATTGCCTGTAGTGGGACAGAATTTATCTGCTATCTTGTTCTAATTTTTTGACTACAGCGATCAAACTTGACCCCAATAAAGTTGACCAGATGGAACACTGGACACTTTTCCAGAATCTGTTTCTGAGTGTATAAAAATGTCTTTCATCTCATGATGTGTAGCAGATGGAATATAGCAGAAAATTGAGAGTCCATCTCGGAATGTTTCTGAGTCTCATCACTATAGGCTTTGCAGCAGTTGAAATAAGTCTGCTAGGTGACTAATTAAGAATAAGACAATAGAGACATCAGTACTGTAGAACTAATACAGATTGATGCTACTTTAATTGCCATGGCTCAGTGCTATGCAATAATGGGAGTTGTACTTTTATAAGGTCTTTAGCCTCTGCCAAAGAGTGCTGCTGCCTTAGCAAAGTACAGCTCCTAGGATTCCATATCACTGATCCATGACAAATTGTGTCAAGCTGCATTAATTCCACAATGTAGATGCACCCAAAACTAGACTTTTCAACAAACTCTCTGTTGTATGACCAACATCACCTGCAGATTAGCATTCATCTAGCCTGTTTTCTTGCATATTGGATTACAGGAAATGGCAGACTCAACAGTGTTTTAGCATACCTAAAGCACCACTCTCATTTTCATAGAAACAGTGAAATTTATATATCATAAGTTATTCAGAGCAGTTTTTGGGGATAATACCCTTGAGTTCATTCACACTTTGGAATTATTTATTTACAATATTTATATCCCACCCTTCTCACCTCGATATAATATATGTACATGCAATATATTATATTATTAGCATAGCAAAATAATCTATATAAATAAAAATGTAATGTTTGTTTGTGGGATTAACATAACTCAAAAACTACTGGACAAATTGCCGCCAAATTTGGCCACAAGACACCTACTAACCCAAGGAGTGACTATCACTAAAAAAATTGATTTTGTCTTTTGGGAGTTGTAGTTGCTGGGATTTATAGTTCACCTACAATCAAAGAGCATTTTGAACTCCACCAACGATGGAATTGAACCAAACGTGGCACACAGGACTCCCATGACCAACAGAAAACACTAGAAGGGTTTGGTGGGCATTGACCTTGAGTTTGGGAGTTGTTGTTCACCTACAACCAGAGAGCACAGTGGACTCAAACAATGATGAATCTGGACCAAACTTGGCACGAATATTCCATATGCCCAAATATGAACACTGATGGAGTTTGCAGAAAATAGACCTTGACATTTGGGAGTTGTAGTTACTGGGATTTATAGTTCACCTACAAATTTCCCTTAACCCTACCAATGACAGATTTGGGGCAAACTTCCCACACAGAACCCCCATGACCAACAGAAAATACTTAAGGCCATCCAGTCCAACTCCCTTCACCAGGGCAAGAAAACATAATCAAAGCCCTCCTGACAAAGAGCCATCCAGCCATAGATAGATAGTTATTATTTACACATGCACAGATATAGTATCATAGATTTGAAAGGGACCTCTAAAGAAGCACAATTATATGTTGCATGTTCCAGAGTAGGCAAACCAGACACTCTCCACATCAACACTGACAAAGAAACAGCAAGAAATACTGATTACCCACAAGCATAAAGAAATTACATATATTAGAAACCAACACTTTCTCATTATTTTCCAGATCACCAGACTGGGCCACAGCAACATGTGGCAGGGGATGGCTAGTATATTATATATTACTATATTGTACTATACCACTATACTGTAATATTATTAGTAATATTATTTGTAATATAAATATACAATTATTATATTGTATTATTATTAGTATTAAATTATATTACATTATAACATTATCAACATTATATTGTGTACAATATATTATATTATTAGCACAGAAGAATATTAGTATCATATATTACTATATTGTTACTGTTCTGGAACAGCTGTTCCAGGAGCTCCAGATTTATTTGCTGTGTTTACATGTTTGTGTGCAAACCCATGCTTGGGATTTTGCAGCAGGGGTTTTCCTGTTATAATTTGCATTTATAGGGTAAGCCACCTGCCAGTTATAGTTAGGATCCCTGGTCCCGCCCCCTTTTTGCCTTTTGGAGGGAAGGGGCCTATTTTCAGTCACACAAGGAAGCCAGTCTATAGGACGCAGATCAGCTAGTCCCGTAGGAAAGGCTTCATTCCTCAAAACCTTCCGGGGAAACAGAAACAGCCATCCGGGGTCCATCCAGCGACCATCCAGGGGTCATCCAATGACCATCCAGTTCCAGGGATACGGAAGGAAAAGGTCCCAAAGGCTCTGGCTGAGAGCTCATAGCCTCTCAGCCTCACAGCACCAGAGGGAAAAACAGACCTGAAGTTCCCACTAGACAGCATCGTAGAACCACAGAACTCCGGCTGCTATATCTTCAAGCCTCAGCCGGTAAGGTCTGCTCGATACCCAGATGCACGTGGATTTCGGTAGCAGCACCCACGCCGACTAGGCATAGATAGAAAGCGGCCTGGGAGGGATTATAAAGAGTTCTTCCTTATGCTGAGATAGTACAGTTAAACCAAGTTAGTGCCAGTCTCTTAAAGACTAGAATAGTAAAGTCTTGAAGTATTGTTGAAGATTTGTTCCTTAATAAAGACTTTGTTGTACTTTTAAAGACTCTAAAGCCCATTACTTCTGGAAGTCTCTAACAATCTCTCTTCGGGCACCCCGGCTTCCCACTGGGTTTAAAGTGTGCGTCCTGTAGAATAAAGACATTTTGTTCGGACCCAGTGGCGACAGAACAGTTACTGAAGTGAGGGGCTTCCAACAGATGACCCAGGAGACATGGTGGAACTCTGTCTTCCTGGCTCCCCTTTCTTCACTCTGGGCCCAGAGTGGCAGTTGGTGCTAGGGCGAGGGGCTCCCAACCAATGACTCAAGAAACATAGAGGAACTGTTTTCCTGGCCCCCCTTCTTCACTTTGGTCCCAGAGTGGCAGTTGATGTTGGGAGGAGGGGCTCCCAACTGATGACGCAGGAGACATGGTGGAGCTCTGTCTTCCTGGCTCCCCTTCTTCACTCTGGGCCCAGAGCAGCAGTTGGTGCTGGGGGAAGGGGCTCCCAACCAGTGACCCAGGAAACATAGTGGAACTATGTCTTCCTAGCTCCCCTTCTTCACTCGGGGCCCACAGAGGCAGTTAATGTTGCGGGGAAGGGCTCCCAACCAATAACACAGGGAATATGGTGGAACGCTGTCTTCCTGGCTCCCCTTCTTCATTCTGGACCAGCGGCAGTTGGTACTGGGAGGAGGCGTTCCCAATCGATGACTCAGGTGGAACTTCCTGACTCCCCTTCTTCACTCTGGGTCCAGAGTGACAGTTGTTGCTGGGGGCAGGGGCTCCCAACTGATGACCCAGGAGACATGGCAGAACTCCATCTTCCTGGCTCCCCTTCTTCACTCTGGGCCCAGAGCAGCAGTTGGTGCTGGGGGAAGGGGCTCCCAGCCGATGACCCAGGAGACATGGTGGAACTCCATCTTTCTGGGCCCCCTTGTTCACTCTCTGATTCTGTTATCCCACTTTGACTACAGTGGTTCCATTCTGTGAAATCTGGAGGCTGATAGTTTAGGGAGAGGCAGGTAAATTATCAGCTCAAGCACCCAAATGCATAATCAAACCACCAGTCCTTGGATTAAATGGTATAAAACTGTGACACTCACAGTGGAATAAAGGAGCTATATTATATACTGTAGTGTTCTCTCTTGTGGCTGGCATCCCATCCCTCATAAGTGGTTCCTTCTCCACTCTTCTTGATTCTCTATTCAAATTCCACCTTAATGGTAGTGCTGGTTTTACTCCTTTGCCCCCCCCCCCATATATACTATCCTACACAGCGATTCTTGAGACTGATTGTATAGATCAATGGTTCCCAACTGTTGGGCCATGAAGTATTGGACTTCAGCTGACAAAAGCCACCATCAGTTTAGCTAACAGCCAGGAATCCTGGTGCTGAAGTCCAAAACACTCAGAGAACCAAAGTCTAGGAACAAATGGTATAAATGGCTTTTCCTTCTTTCAATTCCATAGCAAGACCAAGGCTTAGCCTGAATCACAAATTCCATTAATGTGCTCATAGGGCATTCAGGTTCAGAAATCTTTAGGGGCAGACCATGTTAACTGAACATTGGGGCAATGGAAGGGTATGTATTTGTAAGATGAAAAATGTAAGCTCTTTTGCTTGGCATCATCCTGGCCAGATATAGAACAGGAAGAGTGGTACCATGCCAGCTGTGATCCCAGCAAACAGACCCTTGACATTTTATATGCAAGGTGTGATTGTTACATCCCAGGCTTCATGCTTGGGAGTCAGTCTGGTGAGAACACTGCTTATACCAGCTATGAGATATAGGATTTGGGACACCCTATCTTACCATGATACGGGAGTAGACGTTACCACTCAAATAAAAAATGCCCCTGAAGTTCTCCAGCACCACCTAGGACATAGAGGCCATGATAGGAATGGAACACCGGAAATGAGATCGGATTGTGGCTTGACGATGAGACGATTCGGAATGTAGTAATAAATTTGTTAAGATGTTTTTATGATTATGATGAATTGTACACTGTTTTGCACTATGCTCTGTAGATTGCACTTGTTTTTTGTCATGTTGTACACCGCAATGAGTCGCCCTTGGGGGCTGAGAATTGCAGTATATAAGCGCAGTAAATAAATAAATAAATAAATAGGCTCCAAAACTGATATTGTATATAAACTTCCATCTTTTTCACTGGCAACCCCATTAATGTTCCTAAACCCTGTGTTCATATGTCTGCAGAATTTGAACTTGCATATGTTCTAACACTACATTGCTGATAGGACAATAAAACTGATATTTCCAGTCTACTTTTTTTTTCAAAGGATGTGTTGTTTTACAATACATTGTAAAACCTCTTGTAAAACCTCTCAGCAGCCTAACTCTAATTAATTCTAATTATTGGCGGTGAGATGTTGACCTATAAAAGACTGTTTAGCAATGCTATGTGGGCATCCTATATTCAGATGCAGGAGAAATACGTACGTGATGAAATATATGCTCATAACCATCAAAAGAAATGTTTTACACAATGTTTTCATGTGCTTTGTTTCATAAGATACCTTCTGTGTCAAGGAGGCTGACTGGACAACTTCAGAAGGGCCTCACTGAATCAGACCTGTAAGTGTTTCCTTTCTTTTAGCCTTCATGCATGAAATTGCATTATCAAGAGAACATGGCTGTGTAAACATTGCTGCAACTTAGTGCCACACCCTCACATCCATAGTCCTGTTCCATTGTTTTGAAGTGTTATAGGTCATGGTGCCCGAAGATAGTATCTTTGAAGCTTACTGTCAACTGCTTCCCAATCAGATAGGAACTCACCAGAGAGATACGGTATCTCTGCTAATACTTCTGGAGACCAAGGTCCCCAGTACCCATCAAGAGAGACACCATCAGGCTTAGTACGAACTTGGATGTGGTACTGCTGCCCAGGGACCAGATCTTTGAGATGACATGTGTGAATGTTCTTCACTTCAATCTATAAATAGGGAGAAGCAAAAGCAGGGATTTATGGAAATAGTATCTCTTATTAACCAGCTGGTATAGGTTGAGTATTTTCTGAAATACTTAGGACCAGAAGTATTTTGGATTTTAGAATACCTTTACTTTCTAATGTACACTGAACCATTAGAAAGTAAAGATATCACTCTATCAGACACCACATGTGAATATTGTTGAATTTTGGATTATTTTGGATTTTGGCATCATGGATACTCAACTTATACATAATAACAAATAAGCTTTTCCTCTTTCCAGATTTCCAGTTTTTTAAACAACGTAGAAGCCCACTTTCCCACCATATAAATCGTACCCTTGTTGGTGGGTTCTCAAAACCTTCAACATGATAAAGAATCTCATAAACCAAAAATCCTTTATATGGTATTGGTGGGGGATTCCACATCATACGCAATTGCTGTACCACTCCAAGCCATTCAGCTGTTATATTTGTTGGTGGAGCAATTAGACCTGAAAAAGAAGAGGGGAAAATATTGAAAGAGAAGGGAAAGTTAATCTCTGAATTGCCCTTCTGCGTTGGGTGGAAAGGGGTCAGTTGGCTGCATTGGGTACCATTCTGGGAGAGAGGGGGAATAATAAATGACTGAATGAATAAAGAAGCTGCCTGATGGGGGGTAAACGTAGGTCAACTTGCACAACCTGCGGCCCTCAGATGTTTGGGACTCCTGCTCCCAGAAGCCCTAGCCAGCTTGTGTAATGGTAAGGAATTCTGGAAGCTGAAGTCCAACTGGAAAGCCACAGGTTGTGCAGGTCTGAATGATCTGTAATACTGCAGGTGCACCTCTTTTTTAATTAATGGTGCAATGCTTTATGAGAAGCACTCAGAGTAGCATCATGGAGTTATTCAACAAGGTGTCTCTTGGTAAGAAGAACAGTAATAAAACTGTTAATGTGCTATTATGAAAAAAAAGAAAAGTGTACCAGAAACTACTGGTTTCAATGTATATTGATTGTGTTTTATTTAAATATATTCAGTGCACAACACATAAGGAGCCACAGTTGATCTTCCTACACATGAACTGCTTGCATATATTTTCAATGATAAATTAGGATGCCGTTAAGCACCCTGAACCAGTACTAGAAACCTCCCTAAGGCCTACTTTCCTGCAGTATATATACTTACTACCTCATCATAAAGGGCTGAAATCGGCGGCATGCACCAATTTTAGCCCAAGTCACCCACAGAGCTGGCCAGCTCCCATCACATGATGCTGTGCCAGCTTTGTGGGTGAAGGAGGGCAGAGGCGGCACATGTCACTGGCATGGCAACATGGGAGAGCTCCCGTGTTGCCATACAATCTATATGGATGGAACAGGTTTAGCATCCCTCAAAAATCCAAAATATTCCAAAATTGCCACATGGATAGCTAAGGCAATGATACCTTTGTTTTCTGATGATTCTAACTTTTCTACATGGACAAAAATGTTTAAAATATTGTATAACATTGCTTTCAGGATACATCTATAAGAAAAAAAAATGAATTTCATGTTGAGATGTGGGTCCAATGTCCTAGATCTCTTATTATGTATCTATATGAAAAAACAGTTATTCCACAATTATGGCGGGGAGGAGGGATCCAAAATTTGGTCCCCAGCCTATCAGATAACGGACATTCTACTTGTACAAGTTAAGAGAGCTCCTTCTCAAACAGTTGGAAGTCATGGACTCGTTTCTAGACTGCATGTGAAAAGGTGTTAATACAATCACAGCAAAAGTTTAAATTGCATATTTCTAAGAATGTTTTAATGTCACATTGGGGTAATACATGAAGTTTTATTATTGTTCACATATGTGTGGGCCTTGCTTAGAATCATAGGGCCATCCAATCCAACTCCCGAACCCTATTCATCTCTTCCCCTTCTCTCCCACTGTCATAAGTTATTTAGTACTATTTTAATTACTCTTCCTTGGTCTATCTCAAAGAGCTTCGGGACTAGAACTACTAGGGATCGAGCTTTCCCAATGATAGGCATTCTCAAACTATGTTCCTCCAATTGTTTTGGCTTCCAACTTCCAAAATTCCTGACCAAGCTGGATAGGGCTTCTGTGAGATGGAAGCTCAAACAGCTGGAGAGACACAGTTTGCCTGCCCTACACCTTTAGAATTTCCTTCCCAGGAAGATAGTATATGCCCCCACCACTGCTGGTTAAAAAACACTGCTGGTTAAAAAACATCTGAAGACATTTTATTAGATTCTCTCAAAAATAATGCCCTGAACTCTGTTGCTAATTAATCAACTTAATTGTGGGACTTACCATTATGTTGATTCAACCATTCAAACAGTTGACTCAATAGGTTTACTTTACTTTGGGGTAAGAGGATTTAAGCCAATAATAATTGACTGAATTAAAAAAGCAAGTATGCAGCCACTTATTATCGATAATGGAAATAAATGACACCTTAATATATCAAAACTGGGCATACAGGGATGGTGGCCCATAGCTCCCATGCCACTGAAATAATGAATCAAATCTGGATTTTAATCAACTTTAGCTATCCAAGGCATTGGATTCTCTCTGCAAAACAGATTTGTCACATTGGGTAGCATCTTTAAAGTTTAGACTCAAATTCAGATTTACTACTTCAGTGACATGGGAGCCATAAATCATCATTGTCACACGGTATATGAGATGGATTTTTTTTCTCTTTGAGGTCAGTGAGGTCCAGAAGTTTGTGCACTTCAGCCTGAGCAAAATAAAAATTGTTATACAAAGCAGCAAATGTTTATATAAGGTTTGTCCAGAACATTAGCATTCATTGCAGTGCCAGGCATTGGTTACATCAGTGTATTTCAAGGCACTGCACACATAGAATCATAGAATCATAGAATCAAAGAGTTGGAAGAGACCTCATGGGCCATCCAGTCCAACCCCCTGCCAAGAAGCAGGAATATTGCATTCAAATCACCCCTGACAGATGGCCATCCAGCCTCTGTTTAAAAGCTTCCAAAGAAGGAGCCTCCACCACACTCCGGGGCAGAGAGTTCCACTGCTGAACGGCTCTCACAGTCAGGAAGTTCTTCCTCATGTTCAGATGGGATCTCCTCTCTTGCAGGCTGCGCCACAATCCCGGTCCTAGTCTCCAAGGAAGCAGAAAACAAGCTTGCTCCCTCCTCCCTGTGGCTTCCTCTCACATATTTATACATGGCTATCATATCTCCTCTCAGCCTTCTCTTCTTCAGGCTAAACATGCCCAGTTCCCTGAGCCGCTCCTCATAGGGCTTGTTCTCCAGACCCTTGATCATTTTAGTCGCCCTCCTCTGGACACATTCCAGCTTGTCAATATCTCTCTTGAATTGTGGTGCCCAGAATGGACACAATATTCCAGGTGTGGTCTAACCAAAGCGGAATAGAGGGGTAGCATTACTTCCCTAGATCTAGACACTATGCTCCTATTGATTCAGGCCAAAATCCCATTGGCTTTTTTTGCCGCCACATCACATTGTTGGCTCATGTTTAACTTGTTGTCCACGAGGACTCCAAGATCTTTTTCACACGTACTGCTCTCGAGCCAGGCATCCCCATTCTGTATCTTTGCATTTCGTTTTTCCTGCCAAAGTGGAGTATCTTGCATTTGTCCGTTGAACTTCATTTTGTTATTTTTGGCCCTTTCTCTAATCTGTTAAGATCGTTTTGAATTCTGCTCCTGTCTTCTGGAGTATTGGCTATCCCTCCCAATTTGGTATCTGCAGACTTGATGATCCTGCTTTGTAGCCCTTCATCTAAGTCATGAATGAAGATCCTGAACAGGACCGGGCCCAGGACGGAACCTCCTGATGGCACTCCACTCGTCACTTCTTTCCAGGATGAAGAGGAAGCATTGGTGAGCACCCTCTTGTGTTCGTCCACTTAACCAACTACAGATCCACCTCACCGTAGTTTTGCCTAGCCCACATTGGACTAGTTTCCTTGCCAGAAGGTCATGGGGGACCTTGTCGAAGGCCTTACTGAAATCCAGGTACGCTACATCCACGGCATTCCCTGCATCTACCCAGCTTGTAACTCTATCGAAAAAAGAGATCAGATTAGTCTGGCATGACTTGCTTTTGATGAATCCCTGCTGAGATTAGCGATGACTGCATGTTTCTAAGTGTTTGCAGACCGCTTCCTTAACAATCTTTTCCAGAATCTTGCCCGGTATCGACGTGAGGCTGACCGGACGGTAGTTGTTTGGGTCATCCTTTTTTCCCTTCTTGAAGATTGGGACCACATTGGCCCTCCTCCCATCTGCTGGAACTTCTCCCGTTCTCCAAGAACTCTCAAAGATGGTTGCCAATGGTTCGAAATGACTTCCGCTAGTTCCTTCAATACTCTGGGGTGTAGTTGATCTGGCCCTGGGGACTTGAACTCATTAAGAGCGGCCAGGTATTCCTGGACGACTTCTTTCCCAATTTGGGGTTGGATGTCCTCCAATCCCTCATCCACTCCATCTTGCTGAGGTTGAAGACTCTCTTTTTGTGAGAAGACCGAGGCAAAGAAGGCATTAAGTAGTTCTGCCTTTTCCCTATCCCCTGTCAGCATTGCCCATCTTCTCCTCGAAGAGGTCCTATCGCCTCCTTGTTTTTCCTTTTTCTACTGACATAAGAATAGAAGCCCTTTTTATTGTTTTTAATGTCCCTGGCAAGTCTGAGCTCGTTTTTTGCTTTAGCCTTGCGGACCTTTTCCCTACAGGTGTTGGCTATTTGTTTGAATTCTTCTTTGGTGATTTCTCCCTTTTTCCACTTCTTGTGCATGTCTCTTTTGTGTCTTAGCACAGCTAGAAGTTCTTTGGACATCCATTCTGGCTTCTTTGCACTTGTCCTATTTTTTCTCTTTGTTGGCACGGTTTGCAATTGCGCCTTGAGTATTTCACTCTTGAGAAATTCCCATCCATCCGTAACTCCCTTGTCTTTTAGTATCTGTGTCCACGGAATGCTGCTCAGCGTTTCTTCATTTTTTGGAAATCAGCTCTCCTAAAGTCCAAAATGCGGGTTTGACTTGTCTTAGTTTCGGCCTTCCTTTGTACCTCAAATTGCAGGAGCACATGGTCACTTGCCCCTAAGGATCCTACCACTTCGACCGCATCGATCAGGTCCTCCGCATTTGTTAGGATGAGATCAAGAGTAGCCAATACCCTTGTTGCCTCTTCTACCTTCTGGACCATGAAATTGTCTGCAAGGCAAGCGAGGAATTTGTTGGACCTTGTACTCTTGGCCGAGTTTGTTTTCCAGCAAATATCGGGATAGTTGAAATCGCCCATGACTACTACATCTCTTCTCTGTGCCTGTTTGGTCAACTGTTGGCAGAAGACTTCATCAAGTTCTTCCTCCTGGCTTGGGGGTCTGTAGTAGATGCCTACAACGACATCTTTTTGAGTCCCAGTTCCCTTGATTCTTATCCAGATGATTTCAAGCTGGTTTCCCAGATTGCTGTCTTGAATCTCTTCTGCAGCATAAGAGTTTTTGACATATAAGGCTACTCCGCCTCCTCTCCCCTTTGTTCGGTTTCTGTGAAAGAGGTTATACCCCTCGATATCTACATTCCAGCGATAGGAGTCATCCCACCAGGTTTCAGTGATCCCTATGATATCATATTTGTGGTGTTGTGCTAAAATTTGGAGTTCGTCTTGTTTATTTCCCATGCTCTGTGCATTAGTGTAAAGACATGTGATCCCCTGAGATCTTCCCTTGAGCTGTTTAATTGGGATGAGCAAAATGGGCCTTTCAAATCAAACATGTCTTACCAACAGTATCTACAAAGAGCTTCTGGGTCCGAGAGGTATAATTACTCATGGCCTCCATGATTTCAATGTTGAGTTCTCTGAAGAGCTGGATGCCACCGTGGTCAGAGGAAAAGTTGCAGGAATGGCGCAAGCCTCCATCATTAAGTTCAACTGATGTCAGCGTGCATTCTTTTTTCTGATTGCTGTAGGAAAGGACAGATCATCAAGTGAAACATCACACTAGGTTGCGGCATTTTTCTTTTAGTCTTGCCTAATGGTAGGCCAACCCTACCACTATTTTAAGGGCAACTAGTTTTCATGTAACGCCAGAAAATCATTAGCTATTAGATTTGTTATGATTACATTTTTACTTCCTGTGATGGGGAGAGGTGCTTCTGATATCTCTGTTTCATGTACCAGAATCACCTGGCTGGCTTCAAGTATTATGCACTTTGGCTTGGGTGTATTGTCTCAGGCAGCAAAAATATCTGAGGCTGCCCAGTTGGTTTTAAAGTCCCCTATCTACCTTTCCCCCCAATGTTATTTATTTATTTTATGGTTTTACCCCACTCCTACTCTCCACCCTTCTCCTTGGACATACAGTTTGTACAATAAACTACTGAAATTACATTTGAGTCTTAATCTCATTTTTTCCACTGCACAAGTTAATACATTAGCTAAGTAATTCCTAATTGGATCACACATACTCTTAATCATTATAACATTTTCTATTTTATCTGCATTGTTCAATTTATAGTTTGTTATTTCCACATTTAATATATCAACTTTATAATTATACCAATTTCTCAGGGTTCACTTTGTTTTATCTTTCCAATCCCTCACCAAAACAATTTGCACACACACTATTAATTTGTCAACCACTCTTTCCTTTTGCGCATTATACACTTCTGGTATCCTTGCATGTAATACATTTCTATTGGCTATTATTATTTGAAGATTTAACATTCTATTAATTTTTCCTTCAATCATTCTCCAGTACGCTTATACTCTATCACATTCCCATGCTAGGTGATTAAACACACCTCTTTGTTTACAACCATGTCAACACATGTCCTTTACCCCTGGTAAAAATACATGAAAGTTGTCCTGTACAATTTTTGTAGCATTTTCCTTCTTACTTCCCTTAGTACATTGTATTTTTCCTTTACTATATCACTTATTTCCCTTTGGGTGTCTTCCCTCTCAATTTCCATATCCATTCTTTTACCATTATAATTTTTTATACAAGTATCCTGCCACTTTTTTTCTCATCTCTCAGACATAATCACCTTCTCAAATGAAGTATCCTGTTTTCTAATTCTTTCCACAAAAAACAATGGATTCCCAAAATCGCAACAAACACAAATCCAATACAAGTTGTAGTCCATAAATCACAAAGGTAAATGTTTTTTTGTAGCTTATATAATACAATATTAAACATATAACCAACTTATATAATACAGCATTGAGCAATATACAAGGAACAAAAACTGTTATTTATACAGTGATTTTACGTCAGTCATAAACAATCTTTGAATTTGAAACACATCATGACATGCTTCTAAAATTGGTATTCCCCAGCCTCTTTCTTCCTCTTTGGCATTTAACCATTTATCTCTTGTTCTGGGCCTTTTTCCTCCAACTGCCCATTTTTAAATTCTTTTATTCCATATCTTTAACATCCCGATTTCTACTGTTTGGAATAGATATAACAATTTTGGTTTTGTAAACATTTTTAAGGTCCTTATTTTATCCACTCTTGTTAATGTTTTCCCAATTTCTTAAATTGTTTCTCTATTACTTTCCATATTTTCTGATATTTCTGTCTGCCTTCTGCAGACAATGTATCTCCAGACTTTTAATATCAACTGCTCAAAAATAATATTCAAGCTGAGATGATTTACCAGGCCCTACATCCCAAAGAGCCTGAGCTATTTATCCTAGCCAGAGTAAAGGTATGTAAGCCAAGAAGAACACTTCTGTGATATAGGATCTATTCTTTTTTTAGAAGAATATTGAGATCCACCAAACAACGACTGTTACAAAAAGATCTATGATCTTCGACTATCCACAGCCTGATTTGAACATTACAGAATCAAGACATTCTGAGCCTAGTGATGTGTTTTTAATATCAGCACAATCTTAGGATCATAGAGTTGGAAGAAACCTTGTGGGCCATCCAGTCCAACCCCCTGCCAAGAAGCAGGAAAATCGCATTCAAAGCACCCCTGACATATGGCCACCCAGCCTCTGTTTAAAAGCCTCCAAAGAAGGAGCCTCCACCACACTCCGGGGCAGAGAGTTCCACTGCTGAACAGCTCTAACAGTCAGGAAGTTCTTCTTCATGTTCAGGTGGACTCTCCTCTCTTGTAGTTTGAAGCCATTGTTCCGCATCCTAGCCTCCAGGGCAGCAGAAAACAAGCTTGCTCCCTCCTCCCTATGACTTCCCCTCACCTAATTATACACAGCCCTCATCATGTCTCCTCTCAGCCTTCTCTTCTTCAGGCTAAATATGCCTAGCTCTTTGAACTATTCCTCATAGGGCTTGTTCTCCAAACCCTTGATCATTTTAGTCACCCTCCTCTGAGCACATTCCAGCTTGTCAACAATGTTTTCTTCATGTAAAAATCAATTCCTCACTATTTCAAGCTTTCTTCATTATAACATTGTCATTTAGGTTGGACCATGGGTGGGCAATTTTGGCATTCCTCTTGTTGAACTGTTAGGAGCCAGTTATTTATGGAAGAAATCATGCAGAGCCCCACTATTAGCTCCAAGTATATTTTATGAACACCACAGTAATATAAAGAATGATCTCCTACCTTTTAAACGCATAGAAGAAATGATATGACCCTTTCGTGTTTGCTGGTTCATCCCAGAAACAGGTGAGATCCTCAAACGTTCGAGAAAAACAGGAGATGTTCTGAGCTGCTTCAGCCAATATAGCAACTTCTGTACGGAAATAGATGTTTTCTAAATTATTATTTATTTTAAAATTTTCATGGTTTATGTGTGATCATCTTTACTGTGTCATCTCAAGACTGGACTACTGTAACGCCCTCTACATTGGCCTTCCTCGGTTGGTGATCCAGAAGCTCAAGTTGGTACAAAATGCAGCTGCTCAGCTTCTTGCGGGAATTCCAATAAGATGCCACATCACACCAATCTTACTGCAGCTGCATTGGTTACCAATTGAGCACCGGATCACTTTCAAAGTGATGGTACTCACCTTTAAGGCCTTGCATGGTCTGGGGCCGATGTACCTGAGGGACCGCCTCACCCCCTACCAACCCCAGAGATCCCTCCATTCTGAGGACCAAGATCTATTGGAAATTCCCAGTGTCAAGACCTTGCGTCTAACAGCAACCAGACGCAGAGCCTTTACAGCAGTGGCACCATCACTCTGGAATACTCTGCCACCTGAAGTCCGTGCCTTGCGGCACTTATCAGCTTTCCTCAGGGCATGTGTGATGAATCTAACCTTTTGCCAGGAAGGCCGAGGCCCGAAGTCAGTAGCTGACATGTTGGGAGATAGGCAGGAAAGCTAAGAGGCAAGAGGGAGGAGTCAGCCGGCTCCTGATTGGCTAGAGCAGTCAGGGG